AACTGGTGATTTAGAGTCTATTCTGGACTATCGATATATTACACGAGCTTCGGATGAGTCTGATGACGGAGCTGAACCGGCTGTGAAGCGGATACGGCTCGCGTTCTCGGGTGGAATTGCAAGACCGAGATCGCCCAGCACCTCAGATGAAATGTCGAATCTGGTTTTAGACTTGGCCGCTCTTCATGACGGTGATGTTGGAGCCATCTTCAGAGATTATGAGGTGGAGTATCGTAAGAGGAAGGCTCTGGACGTGAGCTGCCAGTTGTATCAAACATCGAGAGAGTTGATTCGAAAATTCTTGACTGGTGTCAAGAAGCGAAGAGCCGCAGAGGAGATTGAGACCGAGGATCCCCGAGGCAGGGACCGCATGCGGGCATTGCGAGAACCCACAATCGAAGTCGCCGAGGATCTGTTCGAAGTTAGCGAAGCTGTTCCACATCCAGCAGTTCGAGTCGATGCACCACCAGTCGAAGCTTCTCCTATGAATCCCTACTTGATCCGTGCGAAGTCGTTACTCGCAGATCTATCACTGGTAGAGAAGCTTGTGCAGGATGTGAAGTCTACTACTGGGCGTAAACCGCCAACTTGCACATGGTGCCAACTACCCATCCGGAATGATACGCACCCTATGCGCAATCAGATTGGGTCAGTTGGCTCGGCTACGAAGAGTGCTGGTATTCGGTATTGTCCAGTGCAGTACCCCGACTTGACTGCATTCGATAGGGATATCCTACCTCAGTTGTTCGCTGAGAGAACGGCAAAAAAAGAAAAGTGCAGTCGTTGCAGCTTGAAATATGACGACGTCCAGAACGAGCATCGTTTCCATCCTCGAGCAGTGGGCAAGAATAGAGCTCTTTATCGCCACTGTCCTGTTCACGATCCTCCCTTCGAGGTGTGGTGCGAGAGTGGAGATATTGTAAAGAAGCTCCTGGAGAGTGATCGAGCAAGATGCCGAAATAATGCAAGAACACTCAAGTGCTCTACGCAGCATGAGCAATCATCAAGCGCTGAAATTGGTAGGCCATGTGCGGCTTCTTCTTATCATACAAATTGGTTCCGTTTGTTGTAGATTTGGATAAGTGAGAGATGGTGAACATCATTGCTGAATCATAGCCTGGAATCCCTGATTGCTATTACTCCTGCCTCATAATTCGTTGCGAGCAGCCCTTATTAAGAGTATGACTCAACTGGCACTGCCCAGTGCGACAGGAGATATGGAAGTATAGT